TTTAACTCTCGCCTTCTTTCCTTCCCAAATAAAACGATTCAAATCTCTTTGCCATTCTTTCAAGTTAAGTTCATTTTTTAAAATAGGTATCATCTGAAATAAAAAAAGAAACTTAGGCAAAATGTTCATTTTAATGGCCGCTATACGACCCAGCAAAGAAAGTCGTAGTTTTTTCCACATTATTAAATCCTTTTGTACCGTTTTCCACAATCTTTCATAATTATTCTGGTACAATTTCGCATTGGAGGATGACAAAAAAATTCCCAGATATTTAATTTTATTAACCACTTCAAATCCTGAGATTTGCATAAGTTGATCTTTGTCTCTTGCAGTCATATTCTTTGTAAGAATTTTAATCTTATTCACATTGATTTTAAATCCAGCCACTTTACCATAATGATACAACTCTTGGAGCAAAAAATCCAATGATTCAATTGGTTGAGCCAATGTAAAAACTAAGTCATCAGCAAAAGCTTTAAGTTTATATTCTTTACTAGAAATCTTCAAGCCTTTAATCATTGGAGATTCTCTAATTCTAAACAACAAGATTTCCAAAGAGAGTATAAATAATAATGGAGAGAGTGGACAACCTTGTCTGGTGCCCTTTAATATATCTATAGGTTCTGTCAAGTCTCCATTAATAATTATTTGAGCACATTGTTTTTGATAAATTGCTTTTATAGCTGTCTTAAATTGATCTCCAAAGTTCATATAGTCCAACATTTTGTGTAAAAACTGCCAGTCCAATTTGTCGAAGGCCTTCTCCGCATCTAAAAAAATAAAAGCCGATGGCACTTGATTATTCTTATCCAAATATTCCAATAAGTTTACAATTTGTCTAATATTGTTCTTCATATACCTTCCAGATATAAAACCAGTTTGGTCATCATGTATATAATATTGCAATATCTGCATCAGTCTATTAGCCAAAATTTTTGCAAAAATTTTATAATCCACATTCAGCAAAGAAATAGGTCTGTAATCCTTAAGTTCCAAAATCTCCTTCTCATCCTTCGGTATCAAGGATATAAAAGCTCTTGTCCAAGACTGTGGTATTTGTTCTCCCAGCATAATTCTATTAAATAATATTTTTAAGGGTTGAATC